GAGTATGTCGATGCAATTCTCGGATTTCAGCGGACGAGTTACCTTAGTAAGCTTTGCATTCTAAGTTTTCTGCAACAAAATGGCCGAATGGCAATCCAAAAGTACTGCGAATGAGTACAGTGAAGTCAGTGCAATAGCTGAAGTCACTGCTTATTTATTACATGGAACGTTTGGCATTTCATTGTCATAGATAGTTGTAATATCAGAAGACTGATTGAAACATTTTTGGCAACCTATAATGTTCATAACGCCAGAACTTCAGGATAATAAGTTTTAGAGACGGTTGAAAAAATGCCTGCCGAACTAGAGATAGTGGAATGATGCTTGCATAATTACTGTGTCTCAGGAAAACAGTGCAAAATATTTTCGAAAGATAGTAGTCAAGATGAAAATGAAGCTATACATACAGCGTTTACTGCAAGTTTTATATAATGAAGATGAACACAAAAGAACGGAATTTCGAGCAATAATTTGGCCATACCATGTTCAGATGAGAACTCTGCAATCAAGATGCAGTAGCCGGATTAAATTATGTGCAAAGTGAAGACACAAATAAGTCCCAGAATCATGTGCATTGGAGTAATACGAATCTACAAGTTGCTTTAAAGAAATTTATCGCCATATTAGGAGTAAAATTTCAAGACGATATTTATCACAGGCATTACTATGCCAATGTGGATTGATGATTAAACAACCAGAATAACTAATTACCTGACAATCCCCCCCAAACCGGAATCTGACGTTGAAGTTAGCATTCAGTAGCAAGGTGCACCACTTTCAACCAGACCTTTGTACTGAAAGACGGTCATGTTCTTCGAAGTTTAAGATGGAGAAATTGATGAAGGACACAACTGAAGTACTGGATTTTACGCTCGAACTTAACTTTGTTCATATTCGTTTAGTGGCGTATCTTAAAAAAATATTGTACGCAAGAATAAACTTGCAATGTTGATAAAAAAACATAAATCGAGAACAAATCACTGCATTTCCGTTAATTTATGCTGTAAAGCGTGGTTGGTAGAGTATGTGAATGCCTCGCTCAAAACAGACGCTAATTTTTTATTTATTTATTTATTTATTTATTTATTTATTTATTTATTATATTTTTTTAAAGTTTTGTCTTGCCGTTTAGTGTAGGCTAGCAACTCATGAATATAAGGGGCGTTGCTTGCAGAATATCTTGTATTTCATGATTAAGAATTATGATTAATATCTTGGATTCTACGTTAATTACTCAAACTCTAAATTGTTTATTTTTTTCTTTTTGAGAAATTTACAGCATATTTTGTTTCTTTCATTGCAGCTCTTAAAGCAATTCCTTACTAACTAACAATACACTTCAATACATTCTAATTTTAATAATTATGAATAGTAATAATAATTCAGTTCTAATTTTTATTCTGTGGCAGAAGAAAGTCGTCATGGGAGATATGACGACAAGGGGAACTGAACTTTTATTTATATTTCACATGAAAAAGTTGTGAAAATATTAATTTAGTTCGAGAAGCAAATATACATTTTCACTTAATCAATAATCGGCTATCTTATTTTTAAGTTTAAAAGACAAGAAATTTGCCTATGTATGCCCAAGAAGGTAGAAAGTAAAAATGAAGTTGAAATTAATTTTTAAATGCAAATCTCTCTCGGGATTCTACTGAATGTTATTTATCCGGCTGAAATTAATTTCTGTGTGCAACAAATATTAAACAGTTTTACATATAAAAAGGCCTAAATATTAACACATTTATTAATTGAAAACATTATAATTATATGATATCAAATTAAACTGAGCAGAAAATTGATTATCACAGGGATTTAGTATTATGACTTTTGTGGTGAATGTAGGTGGTTTCCTATTTCTAGAAAACTCAATCTAGTTAACCGATAGTGATATATATTAACACAATTTCCATTTTGGCATCTATTATCTATGGAAAATTAATTTTTATATATTAGAAAAAAGTAACGAATACACATCAAAAAACTGACTATGCGACCTATTCACCAGACTTAAAAGTACTGAAATGTAAAACTTAAAATACGCTTCTAGACACACAAGTATATAAACAGATAATAATATACAATCTACCCAAGCTTTTCAAAAGCAGATTGATTTATTCTGAAATTAACAATTATCATTTTGCTTTACTAAACTGACAACATATAGCCGCAGATTGCATGTTCAATGATGAAATAATTTTAAGTTTGTTTCCTTTACAATAAAAGCTCACAATAAATAATTAAATAAAAAATGTAAATATTGTCTACTTTTTATTTCATGGAGTATCTAAATATAAATTAAGAAAAAATATGACTTATATGACTTTTAAGTTCTATGAAGAACCAATACATGGCTGGCAGCCCCAAATCGCCAGAGCCTATTTCAACGCTCCCCTTGAAGAATGCAAATCCGTAAGGCATAGCTGTCGTCATTCTCACAAGATAATTATCTCGTTAAGATAATTTATCTCTAAAAAAATAATGCAAGCTTTTATAAGAGAGGGTGAGAAAATGAGCAACTGAAGCTTTCCAAAGGATTTTACCTCTTATGGTAACATCATGCAATCCTACCGTGCACCCCGCATACAGTATGTATTAAAAATAATTTAGGACATGAAATATTCACAATATAGTTTCAATACAATTTTGAATTGAAATTAATTGAATCTGTGTTTTGATGAACCGAAAATAAGAGATAAACATAACAAGTATACAGATAAATACAATGAAAAAATATAATACGCATCTCGGAACACAGTTTTATAATGAACTGTAATAGTAATACTAAAGAGATGCCAATGGGATTATTAGAGTTATAAAAGCTAATACAGTTTATAACGTTGATAAGTGGAACTGACAAAATATAAAAGTTCATTAAATTTATGCGGTATGAGAACTTATGCTTGACATCAAAGATATAGGGGGTAGGAAGAGAGTCGTTGCATACTTCCTGAAATCTGGGGTACTTATATTTATCTTTAATTAGAGGCCTTCAGAATGCCAGGAGATCAACCTGTGGATATTTTATGTGATTATCCTCAGTTAAGGGCATGAGAAAGTGTAATGATCACTTCCTGCTCCTCGCATCTCCAGATGTCGGAGTTGGCCATATTTCGCGCATAGAATTATGTGGTGAAGGATCCGTGTCCTGTTGTATATTAATTTAATGAAGAATTCGAGTACAGAGATGCAAAGCGTATATTGGGTATCAAGTTATATGCATTATTCGACAGATCCTGCCAATATTTTGAAGCAAGTTGTTTTAGCTGGTACTTGAAATTCTAACGAGTTCATGAAAGGGTGATTTCAGGATCCATTTGTTTTCTTATCTAAACTAATAATGGTAAACATGATGATATTTTATGGTTGAATTTTCATTTGCAAAACAAAACAGTTTACAAAAGTGCATATTTTTCTTCAGTACTATAAACGGCTAAGCGAAAACTAGAATGTAAAATGTAGAAAAAATGCCATTTAAAAGCTTCAGATCTCCTTTGTTGGAATAATCGAAGAAAGAGGTAAATTATTGCAGTAACACCCGAGACACTGTTTAGCTCCTTCTTACAATTATCTCATTTACTTCAAGACTTTGTTCTTGGTTAGGCTGGAGATATATGTTTTGTTTCACGTACTACCTTTTCAACTTTAGTTATAATAGTTATGTTTTTAAGGCCTTTATAGCCCCTTCGTTACTTCTGTGAGTAGAGCTTAAGTAGGAGAATTTTTATAGATACTCTGAATGCTTTTGAAGATAGGATTAGATTTTGAAGATATGGGATAGAAAGAAATGCGTCAGACAAAGCAACTCAAACATTGATATCCCAAAGGAGCGTTAACCCATAAGGGCTATTAGTCTCGAAACGGCATTTTGCGTAGTTTCACTATAAACGACTAATCACTTTTGAAATTTTTGCCACCAAATATTATTGTCCTTTATTATATTTAAAGAAATTAAATAATTAAGAAGCTGCATGAATCTACGTATATTTCACCCACTGAAAAAACGACGGCTCCTAGACCCATCACCTTTTGAATCAAGTATTCCTCCTCCCAAACATGGGTAACTCGAAGTCCGAATTTTGAGTTTCGAATTTGTTTTATTATCAATCTCATGTTTTGTAAATATTTAACTAATTTTTGACTAACAAATTCAAAGCGAGCAATAGCAACATTGTATGGAAAAAAAAAATATCTTCTGCGTGCAAGACTGTGCATCGAAAATTCTAAAGATATGTTATTTTTAAATATTTTATGATATTGCGGTTGAATTTTATGTGGTTTAAGTTGGAAGAATTTGATATATACCAAAGGTTAAACAACGCCCCAAAGGGGCGTTGTTTAATGTTTATCTGAAAGCTTTCAGATTTTTTATTTGCATTTTTCTTTTAATTAGCTTTCAGATTTCTTTTAATTAGCTTTCATATAAAATCTGAAAGCTTTCAGATTTTTTATTTGCATTTTTCTTTTAATTAGCTACAGCAGGCGATAGATCCCACTTCTAATAGCACGATAGGCAACCATACACACTGCAGGTGTAATGTTTTGATGAATACAAATGAACATTATATTACTATACCAACGTTCTTCCTTTCTCTTGCCGCCATTGTAATTTGCTACTTAGAACACTCATTTCAATGTACCTTCAGGATTGCTATCAACACTATATTTTTTTTTAATGCGTTAGTAGTTTTTTCACATTTGAAAAGTTAAACTGAAAACCGCATATTTTATTCACATTTTTATAATTTATTTATTACGATTTTACGTTTACCGATATTTTACATTTTAAATGCTCTTGGTAAGTAATTTTAGCTAGCTGGTAAAGTTAAAAAATTATTTTCATGTACAATAGTAATTCTAAATAATTCTTCGTTTTATACCTTTCTGTTACGAAAAGGGTATGTACGCCAGAAAAGAAAATGTAAAATAAATTGATGCATGCAAGATAGATGAAACTGACTAAAGTTCTCTCTACAATAATAGCTTGCAATCGATCTTACCTTGGATGGCTAAGTCCTCCGAAAGGTTGCCGATCTTTCAGCCACATGTAAGTCATTGGTTTCTCACCAAAGGCTTCACATTTTAAGGTCACTGACTCACCCGATCGAACTGTTTGTGCAACGAATTTTTGAATAAAATGTGCTGGAACTGAAATAAAAAACAGCATGTAAAATGTTTTATTTTACTGCTTTATATTAATATTAAATTTGCTAACATGCATATCGACATAATGCGTAAAATGGGAAAGCCTAAACAATTATTAATGGATAACCAAGAAAGCAATGGAAATTGTAAATAAATCTAAGAAGAATACAAAGCAAATAAAAAATGCTTTCCCTACCAAATAAATAAAGGAAGAATTAACAATAAGGGAAATAAACTATTAACCACTAAAGTAATCTTATAAGGTATTTTCTGTCTCTTATTTTTGCATGCCTTCGAGGTGTAACGGTAAAACACTCGGCGCGTATTAGAGAGTTCCAAGTTCGATTCCAGGCGAATGCATTGCTCATTTTTCCTCTCTCCTGTTTCAAAATAACCTAATGACTCTACAGTGGTACGCGAACCGTCTTATCAATGGAAACAAAGACAGCTATCGTTAACAACTAACGGAGACATCTGACATAATCGACCCATCTCCAAACCACCTTTTCCGCATAGCACAGCGAGTTGAAAAATCTGAGCTGCAGGTATAGCGGAACTAGTCGACACATGACACCACTAGCCCAGATAAACCCCAGTGTGAGGGGAACTTTAGGCTCCAATCAGACGGTGGTATGTATGAATGCCATAACTAGTTGAAGCCGAGCTCTGTTGCTAAGTAACCAAACCTTGCTGGTTAAGAGTTTTGGGGTAAAGTTCGAAGTTTTCATCCTACGCCGACCTAGTATAAGAAGAAATGGAATAAGAGCTATAAGAGAAACTGAATAGACTTGGTATAAGAGGAAATAATGGAAAACAAAAACTTTAAAATAACCAACCAAGGAGGAAATCGTTTTAGTGACATTGACGATTATAGTACTCAATCTTCAAATCCTGGAGGTGACGAGATATTGTTGACCACCTTCTAGTTCAGGCGCCATTCTAGAGTCATTAGACCTTTTTGATGCAGGGCACATAAAAAATACGCAGTGCCCTCGCCGCGACTCAAACCTGAATCTCTCGAATACGCGCCGAGTATGCTGCTGTTATTTCACGAAGACATGCTGGAAGGAGGAAGAAAACGCCTTATAACATTTTTAAAAATATTTCGTTTGTTTTTGCAAATGAGAGTTGATTCCATATAAAAATTAATATTTAATCTTAATTTGCAACATATTTGGGTTGTAGGGGAACTACCTTTCAGACAACATTCTGATTAAAGAGAAGACTTTCTTATCTCATAATTTCTTAGAATAAAGGTGAAGTTTCATCTTATACATTCATTCTTTGAATGAGCAAAATGTTTTTATAAATATAATCTTCATTGAAAGCAGAATAATTTGTGCGTTAATTAAAGCGCAAATTAACTTTCTTCTCTTTCCTACAGAATTAAAAAAAAATTCTGAAAAGGTAACTAGACACTACACTCCGCAGCAACTTTTAACATCCAACTTAATTAGAAAAATTTAATTTGCACTTCCGAATGATAAATGCTAGTTCTTTACAAGTGAGGAGAACACATTCTACTCAAGACTCTAATTAAATTCTTCACCGTATAAATAGCTCTCATGAGTGTGAAAGTTGTAGTGTTTTTGATTACTCGTAATGGTTTTAATTCATTAAATTTTTCAGAAAATTAGCTGGTATTTTATAAATCCATGGACATTTATTCAACCATATCGTATAACAATGCTAGAGCTTTTAATGGCATTTTGTTTTAGAAGTAAAAATTAGTTTCCTGCTGTCTAGAAAAGTAATCAATACATTCAAATTAAACTTAAAGCAACAATTTTCGCAGCCTCCCTTATAAACGGAATGAATACCCAAATATATTTCAAATTCTAAATCCAGTTCTAAATGTAAATGATGCCGTCAAATTAATTCCTGCAATAAATTAATGTAATTTAATTTAAATTATGCGTTGAGGTGAATGGTTTACGATTCAAAGTATGTTTAACCTCTCATTAAAAATTAAAATAACTGAAACTGATAATTATATTCTATTTTAAAGATTATGCATATTACTGTAGCGCTTTAAAATCTTTTGACACTCCAGATTTCCTTTGTTGCTCACGCATTTTAATTCCGAGATTTAACAAGCTTAAAGACGCATAATAATGCAATTTCTCGGTGCATTAACTAGAAAATTTGTTTTCTTAATTCTGCGTTAAAATAGAATGTGATAAATAAAAGATGAATATATGAATATTTTTATATCCGTCAGTTTTCAATTCACTAACTTTAATTATCCGAAAGTAATAAACAATTGAAATCTTTTGTTAAATTTTGAAAGGTAATGAGTCCAGGAAGCAACTCTCTGGGACTCGAAAAGGAAGAGTAATTAATATGACGGTTTCCCATTTTTGTAATATAGGTACTAATATTTAGTTTCTAAATGCCAGTATTATATATATTCTGTTTTCAATAAATATATTCAATATTAAAGTATTAGAAAAGTGTAAAATGAAATATGCAGAAAATAATATTCAAGCTTGAGAAAATCATGTTCTTAACAGAACTGAGAAGTGAATTACTCCTTAGAAAAAATATTTTTATTTTTCCATATATTCATTTTCTATCAATCTTAGGGCAATAATTTCGTTCCTATAAATTTACAAAATAAATGTCAGTATATTACAAATTTTATTCTCAATCAAAATATTTAATACAATATTTTAAAAGTTAGTTAAAAAATATGAAATAGAATATACAGAAAATAATATTCAGAATGAAGAGAATTGTGTTTTTAATCAACTGAGACATGAAGTTTTTTTTAGAAAAATTTTAACATTCTTTTAATATATATTCATTTCAGTCGAATCATATGGCAATAATTCTATTTCTTTAAAATTATCGAAGAAATGTCAGTCACAGAAACAGAATTACCATAAACTGTTTTCCGAAATTTTATTTCCTTACCATGAACAGTTAGTTTTACGACAGTGCTCAATGGAGAACCAACTCCATTGCTTGCTTCGCACATATAACGTCCATCATCTTCTTCTTCGACGTCCCTTATGACCAACGAACCATTGACCAAAGTTTGGATGTGAGAGCCACTGATTACAGTGCGATAATCCCCACTGTCATCTGCAAAATTTAGAATAAATATTGAAGTAACACTTATGTGAACAATGTAATCAAAATTTACATAAATTGAAAGTCATAAACATTCAGGGAGAAATAAGTTAGGTACTGACTTTCGAATAAAGTTTATTGTTGTTGGCGTTTGAGATGAAGAGACACTAAAATATTATTTTTTGAAAGCAGAATGAATATTTGTGCTTTATATTACACGCATTAAAAACAGTGCTTAAAGCTGTACGTAAAAAGCAGGAATTTCTTGGCAGTTCAGAACATAATATCAAAATATTCTTCAACAATGATGTTTGTGGATTACATCAGCACTGCTAATAGCCCTTGAACCATAACAAATAATAAAGATCACAATAATATAGTAAAATATAAACGCACTATCGGGCAAGTCTGCCGGATGAGCGGGCTGCGGCCAAAGCACAACTCATTAGTTCTATGTACACTTGAAAATAAAATGCGCAAGAACAATTCAGTATGAATGAAATCAGTTAATGCTTTCCAAGCAACAACCAATTCGTAAATAATTTTTTGTTGCCAAACCAGAAAACAAAAGCTTTTGATACTCCAGATGTATGACGTCATGAATAAAATTTTCTTCAAAGTCAGAATATAATCTTGTATAATAACAACATATATAATGTTTCACAGTGCTGTTTTTATTTAAGATTTTGTAAAACATACATTTTTTTCTGAACAAAATGTACGATTTTAAAGCAAACAGTGGCAATACTTTCGAATAAGCCAGGTTTTTATCTCCAACGCGCGAGACTGTTGCCAATCAGAAAAATGTAAACAAAAATTAGGGTTTTCATAGTTTTTAATTAATATCTCGGTTGACTAAAGTCTTACGAAGATGAGAATGACTTCCCACGAATTTTTGGAATCCGGGGTTACCTCTCCTAAAACTCGCCACCGTTCCAGAGGAGATGATGTCACAAAAAAGCAAGCGAACAAACAAACAAACAACCGAAGAGACAGAAGTACACAGGTTTTAATAGCATAGACCTCTCTACGTCTTATTCAACTAATTAAAGTTCTTGTAACTCTCTGAATAGCTTTGGTATGATAGAATAGCTTCAAGTTTTCTATTTTTCTCAATGATATTTTGTTCTAAAAATCATACTTAATTATGTAAATATGTCTGCGAGGGAGCTAGCTGTAGAATAGCTATGAGTAAAATCGTGAGCCAAGATATGAGAATATTATGGAAGTTAATTATGTAAAAGAAATCTGTAGAATAATATCCTGACTGAAACCCATTTGGGAAAGTGTTGTTTACAATTTTGCTGTCAACCTAGCAAGAATGCTTGATAATTTTAATTTCAGCAATCCCTTGTGTCATTATATGCTAAATCTTATTCAGGTATAAATTCTTCTATCGAAATTAGGAAAGATTGTGACCACGCAATTAAATCTATCCAATGTTTGAATTTATTTTATTGGTTGGAAGCTAGTCAGAAAATACGAGTTTAAACTGTGTGGCAAAGAAAATTTTGATTTGTGTACTTAAGGTATCCGACTACGACCTATCAGTCAATTTTGAGGAATTTTTAAAATATTTTTTATTGTAAAGCTTATGTATTAAACTTCCCAAAACTAGTTATGGCTATTCTTATTCTATGCCATGAACCGGATATCTCTGTTTAAGAACTCAGAAGATTATGTCTAAAGGTACAGAATACTCCAAATAACTTTAAAATAAGAACATTTAATTTACATGCTTTTAGTGATGTTGAAAAGATTATTTTAAACCTTTCTAATTGTTATTATGTGCTCGGAAAAGATATTGATTTTGCAGTTTAATTTTCATACTCGGCAACATTTTGTTTTCCTTCTGTTTGTGTTTGCGTTACATTCCACTAATTTTTGGAAAAACTTGATTTTGTCACATTTTGTGTTACGAAAAGAAAAAACGTTCACTAAAAATATTACTGAAGTAACATCATGAAAATTTCGACAAATATTGTATGAAATATTATGAACCAAATGGTCTAAAATTTCAAGTTTATGAACATTTTAAAATGTTTTCAGAAAATTTTATAATTGAAAAAGAAGACATTTTACAAAATATAGCTAGTGTATGTATTCAAACAAGTAAATTTAATAGATTTTTACTTAATTTAGTCCACTTAATTCCTTGTACTTTAATAAATATAAATGACAAAAAGAAAAGTAAAATATTGATAAACATTTTTGTGGAAACGTATCTAGTAATCCTGAAATTTAACAAGTTTTTTAAATGTGAGAAAAAAGAGAAAACTTATACGTTGATAGTATGTTTATCACCTATCATTATAGTAATACTTAGCTAAATAACATCAGCAACAGATTTATTTGTATAAGTTTCCAAAATTTAGGTGTCGAACTTAGTCGTATACTTAGAGCGTTTAATTATTAGTGTTCTTAATTGCAGTAAGGACACGTAGGAGTTTGGAAGTGGTATGGGATCATATTTTCTGGGATTAAGTGTTACGTTTACCTGTGAATTTATTTACTAAAAGGAAAGAACAAAAAATGTGATTATTTTATTAAAATTTATTGTATCGTAATGAATATTTTTCTTAAAATATATGTTGATAAGTTTCTTTCTTCAAAGACAACACTCTCTTCTCTTTGAACAGCTGAAAATCATCTTTTATCTTTTTGGGGCAGATGGGGTTCTTTTATTGAAAACTTTTTATTGCCGGGTCATACCAAAGGCTGATTGTTAAACTACCAAAAATTTACTTTTAAAAAAAATATTTCTGTAATAAACGTGACAGATTTTTTGCGTACCGAACATAATCAAAATTTTGATAATCAGGGAAAAAAACATGGCACAATCAATATAGCAGCATTTTCTTTTTTTTGCAAGCGCACTACAGTACGAACTTCGTTGAGTTCCTTCTCACAGTTGAGTTCCTCTAACTTCATCTTAAATCTTTCTGAAATATTCTGAATTCGTCTGTAACACTTAATGCTATGTAACGATATAAGTACTTACGTTCATATAGCTGTCTTATGAAATTAATTGTATTAGCTCAAAATTTTCCGTGTTTAAAACAAAACTTAAATTTCGCAGTTTGCTTCATGATACTTTTGTAACAACACTGTCTCATTAACTGAACGAAATGACATCGTCTTTCCCATCAGCTGAAGTGTTGCCAAATGATTGACGAAAATTAGCTGAAGTGTTCTCAAACTTTTTCCTCTCATGCTCCCCTTTCACCGCTACCAGAAGTTCAGCTCCTCCTCTTTCTTAACTCCGAAAATGCATATACATTTATTCAAATTTAGATTATTCTTCTAATAAGTTTTACAAATTATGGGAGAAAAAATGAGAAACGTTAATAAGTACCAAAAATGCAACAAAATTAGTTTTTCACATCCTTGTGCAAAGTAAAGGAAGAATTGTAATCACGAAAAATTCCGGGTACCATATTTCAACGAAAATCCCCATTTTCACCGCTTTCGATTGCAATTTAACGATGTTTTTGCATGATATCTGTACGTAAGACAGAATACAGGATTCTTTTTTCCAAAACAAATTATAAAACTGATTTAAAATGGATGCAGAAGAGATTTTTTTTCGTGGCGTCTGTACGTGCTTATATACGTATCTCGCATAATTCAAAAACGAGTAGCCTCAGAAAGTTAAAATTTTGTATACAGGACTGCTATAACATGTAGTTTTGCATCTCCATTTCGGCCGCAAATATAAATATATATATATTTATAGTTTGCGTAGAAATTGTAATTTTAATTGTAAAAATTGTTTTTCTTAATTGTCTTAACTGTATTTGGTGTTTTATGTTTCTCTATACCTTTCATTTTTTAATGAAACTATTTTGAGTTTTTATGTATTTTTGCCTTGCCGGGAAGTGAGAACTTAATTGAATGGGAAATATATCTCTAAAGAAATTCGGGAGAATAAGTTTAAAAGAAGCGCAGGAAAAAATGCGTATAATTAAATATTCTGCACAAGAATGTCATGTGGTCATCAGCCATTTTCTTGTATTTATAAACTTAAGCTAAATATTGAACAGCTAAGATTGATTTTAATTTCACTGTCAGAATGATGAACACGAATAACGCTTCAGAAAATCTATACATGGGGCTAACTAATTCATAGTGTAATTAAACAAAATTCCTATTCAAAGATTTGAAATGCTTATTTAATTAATTTTTATTCGTACTTCTCAAAACATAAATAAACGGAGTCATGAATTTCGCACTAAGAATATTCGTTCTTTTTGGGAATATATTTACATGTCAACAGCTTCTTTTTTCACCGAAGAAATTTAATAAGATAAGAACGCAGCTACAGACGAGCTTCTACGAAGCATGATTAAAATAATTTCCAGAAATTTCTCTCCAAGGCTACAAACTATAACAAAATCGAAACACTATCGAATGACAAGCTGTGATAAGAGATAATAGATTATAATTAATTAATAAAAAATTTTTATAATAAATAAATTTATAATAAATAAAAATTTATATCATTGCTTGTAATTAATTATAAAATAATAGTTTATAATTAATTACACGCAAGATATGTATTTTTATTTATGCGTCGAAGAAGAATTTCATAAAAAAGAGATAGAGACTGGTCATAGAGAGAAATAAGAGGAAAAGGTTGTCATTATTTAAACATTTAGTGCTTTTTGAAAAATGTTCTCTGAGAACTTACAAAGTTTTCATAATTTGTTCATTTTGAGTTTAAATTAGAGAAATTTATATAACGATGAAAAACATATTATAAATATTTGAAATAAATATCATTTTGAAATTTTAATATTTTGCTTCCATTATATTTGAATTACAAATGTAAGCAACAAAAAGGTTTTCCAAGTACTAAACTTTACATTTCATATGGATATAACTAATATAAATTAGAATCTTCTTAGCCCAGAGGGCGTTAGCACAGAAGGGCTTTTAATTTCGTTTTGGCATTTTGCATTGATTCACTATAAACGGTGAATCACTTTTTAAATTGCTGCCTCCTAATATTAGAGCTCTGTATTGTATTTAAAGAACTTAACTAATGTAGAATCTGCATAAATGTATGTATGTTCCTTGCACTGTGATTAAAGAACGGTAGATAGAACCATCAAATTTTGAATAATGTACGTCTTCACCCGAATATGGGCACCTGGGAGACCAAATTTGGAATTTGGAATTTGTTTTGTTATCTGTTTCATATTTTCTAAAGCATTTATGAGTTTTTGATTAAGGAACTGACCGATTTCAAAGCAAGCAATAGCAACACTGCAACATCAAATACAAAGCAAAGAAAAAAAAAAAACGGAAACATTTTTATCTCTAGCGCGCGAGACTGTGTATCGGAAATTCTAAATTCATACTCTTGTGAAACAATTTTGCGATATTGCTGTTGAATCGAATTTTATGGTTAAAGAGGGAAGAACATGATATTTAATAAATAAAGGTAGCACACAAAACATTAAAAAACGCTCCTTTGGGAGTAACATAAAATCTAAAATCTTTCAGGTTTATTATTATTATTATTTTATTCTGACTAGTCTACTGATTTTAGGTTTTGCATTCAATTCTAAAGTAGTTTGGATTAGAGAATACTGTGATAGCATCTGAACACTTACGTAAATATAATTTGGAATTAATTAGCATTAAGACCTTCTAGCTAAGCCTGTCCTTTAATGTGGAAACATTTTATTTTCAAAAGCTTTTCGGAAACAAACAAAATGCGTTGCAGAGCTATAGCTTTGCAAAATTTTGACTAAACAGTAGTTCTAAAGTCTCGTGAATCTGTGGAAGCAATAATTGTTCCAAATTGTTTAAAAAAAATGAATTACTAGTGAGACAGTAAGATAATAAACATTATGCGAATGCATACTTTTAATAAATTACTCTTTAATATTTTGGTGTATTAAATCGATTGCTTAATTATTAATTGTGGTAATATCGTCAGTAATCTGACGTATATTTATGTATACCCATGTATTACGCATATACGAATTACATGTCTTAGGGGTATAAAATTTTTTAATACCGTAAATGTATTATAAGCACTTTCAGGTAATGCTCATCCTCCTGTTTGATCGATTTACGTCCCCAAAAATTCAATTTACTCCTCTGTCCCCGGGAGCATGTCATTTATACATCACATAACGTCCAATCTTTCTTCTGCCTGAAGGAAACATTTTAGTCAGTGCCACGGAATAGAGTTAGTGATGTATTGTTACGGCCCGATTCTTACTTCAATGGAGTTATCTCTCACGAAATAGTGAATAAATCACCATCTGCGAATAGCTTGGAATAACCCAGTTACTTTTAATGGAAGGCAGCATATATACGAGTACAAGAAGCTTATTTAGTCATTAATTCTGTAATAAAAAGTACTTCAAATTTCAGAGAGAAAATTAAGATGATAGTAAAAATTGTGAAATGACTGCGGATTATAAAAGCATATTTAATAACATAAGTTTAGGGGATTCTTAGTCTATTTTTATGTATTTTGCACTGTTTAATATGAAATGATTAAGATAAATAAATGAATTAAAATTATAAATTTAGTGAAAAGGATTTTATCTAAATTTATTTGAACATATTCGATAGATATGACGCTACTAAAATATTTTTAGTATAAATGTATACTACTATCATTCTAGGCAACTAAAAATGTTAAAATTGCTGTTTGATTTGGATCGCTATCTTACTAAATATTTTCAGTTGTTTGTATAATTATAACAGATCATGTAATGATAAAGATATGCTCAAGGTATAAAAAATAAGAACATAAATTTGCTTACCATCACTTTTTTTCCATATTACTCTAGGTTCCGGTCTTCCATCTGCTGTGCAATCTAACGTGATCGTTCCACCAACAGGAACAAACTGGTCGGTTGGCTCTACTCTCCAACGAGGAGGAGCTAAAAATTAATGAAAGGGATTAAAAATAATAAAGTAAAATTTGCTATGTTTCAAATTCTAATATGAAATGATTAATATGTTTGTTTACACATCACTGTCTGATTTAATATACTTTGTATACATCTACTAATCTTCATTTGCTACAGAATATTTCTGGTTCTCTACATATTATATCAAAATACTCTACAGTGAATTGCACTAAATTTGTTCCTGGCGCGAATAGTAAACAAATGAAAGAAATTACACGAAGAGGCTAAGAAAATATGATTATTATGCTTGCTATAATGTTAAGATCCGTCATATTAAAACCTTGATATGAGTATCCACCTGAATGCAACTTATCCTCAACACTGGATCGGCAGATTGGTACGGTGCATTGGCCAGCAAGATCGCCAGACCACACTTACAATGACTATTTACTGTGGGGGTATGACAAGACATTGATGTAAGAAACTCCCGTTAAGAGAGATAAGGAACCTTTTGCATGCAACATAACAGCTGCTGGGGAAGTTCGGGACACGCCCAGTATTTTCTAGAACATCAGATCTTCCATGCGGCGGAGATATGAAGCCTGTATCACGGTCGGGGGTCGTAATTTGGAACACCTTCCTTGATGACGATCGTTGTTTCTTTTTGTTCTTATTTTTTAGCTTCAGCTCTACTAAGCATAATAAACATGTTTTCTCACTTTCTCCCTCTCATTTCTTTCTTGTGTTTTGTGCTGTTACTACCGCTCCTGGAAAGCTTTTCCGACCATGCACTGCTACGTAATCTTTCGTCGTCTAGGCGTACTCTAGCTCCACAGAAATTTTGTAACCGCTGTACGGAAACACCCTGTACATGCTGCGAATAATGGCTGTTGTAATTTACCTCTAAAATATATTACTGGTACAGGAAAATAATGTTACTTTTTCAAACAATATATAATGTTTAGCTGAGTAAAATCTTCCATCACTATGATCAACATGATGGCTAGTGCTGATGGTTGCCCTATAGTTGGACCTAGTTTTGAGTTCCGGAGAAAGAACAGATGTATGTAAAAGCAAAATGTCTTTGCGACATGGAGGCACTTAAAATACTAGGCGAAATAAATGTCAGCTAACGTAGGTGTTGGTAGAAGCAGAGTGGTGGGAGTACTTTGTATCCGTTTGCCAAGAGATTCTTATTCAAAATTGAAACGGAGCTTAGTAAAGTAATATTTCCTTTCAAAGGGTGTCCAGAGCCGAAGCCAACACCAGACGCAAGTTTTCGCTGCCAACTGCGTCAAAATACGTGGATTTTTTCTGATGTTACAACAAATTAAAATTATATTTTTAAATTCCAGTTGATAGTGATTCGTATTTTATGTTTTATATTTAATATTGTATTCGATAATTTTTTTTCTGTCACCTTCTTCTGTTTGATTTATGATTTAAAGGCTCAAAGTGATTTATGATTTTAAGTATGATGCAAAGGTTCTTTCTAGAATTTCATCAGCGGCTACGAATTTAATATTTCAGATACCAGCAAAGATATCAAATACAGGTAGCTGATTTACATAATTCTATTTTATATTTTTGTTTTCTCCAGGAAAATTCTAAATAACTTGTTTTTGTTACCAGTCTCATTTTTCTACGAACCAATTTCCTTATAAAATCCTGCATGAAGGTATCCCTCCTTTCCGTATGGTGCATTAGGGCGGAACACGTAAATAATAATAATAATGATAATAATAATCTCATTTGTCTAATAAAGGTCGGCACAAACCCACGACATTCATCGTGGCAGGAATTATATGCGCCTGTCGTAGGGGCCTTGAACAACATAAAAATCACAGCCCGACTTTATACCAGTTCCGCCCCCAGTTTGGAGAGGGGTACCGGGTAAGAGGGTCTCCGACTCCTGTTCCCGTATTCGAAACCTGGTCTTTCGGTACTAAGTCAGATTCACTAACCTGCGTTTCGGTTCGGCGGCCGAATTAACATAGAAAGGTTAATGTAAACAGATATGTTTTAAACAGTAAATTCTTGAATAATTTATATTCAGTAATTGAAATCAATTTCCAATACACTAATAATAATTATAGAATAATCAATTAAATACCTATTTTAGTTGCTTTATTAATGTAACCGTTTCTTATATATAGTAAATCAGTTTTATATAAAGCTAGTGTTGTTTTCTAAAAATAGTTAACATTCAACCATTTCCAAATTTTGCATTGGCTGAATATACGTGTTCGTAATAACCTATTTACCAATTTCATAAATAGAATTAGCTTGGAATCCCCGAACATACTCATTAACAACTCTTATTAATCAAGGGGAAGGCAGTCCGCTTTTAATAAGGTTTCGACAAGCTCCTGTAACATGCTTAATTTCAGAATGCAATCTGGCATCACATGAACTGCCTGCCCAGTGCTGGTGCGCTCACAGAACTATTCAATCAGTTCGAAGTCGCTTACCGCTGACAGACAGTGGCACAGAGTAATTGACAGTGGCGGCATCGTTGTATGCAACGCACGTGTAAGTCCCGCTGTGCTCCTGGCGCAGAGACTTGAAGATTAGCGTGGACACGAAATCATCGATCATTTCCAGGGATATACCGGCCTCGAGGGACAAAGGAATTCCATCCTTCAGCCAGGAAATACGGATAGGAGCGTCGCCTGTTGGTACACTACATGATACGCTTGCTCTCATTCCTTCCTGGGGATTCTTAGGAAAACTGAATGGAGTTATACTTGGCGGAACTATAAAGAATAATTCAAAAATATTCAAATATTAATAAACGATATATAATATATATAATAGTAAAGAATATATAAAAAATATTCAAAGGAAATAATCACACATAAATGAGATTAGCAATATTAAAAGAAATCTGAAAGCTTTCAGATTTTATATTACACAGGAGCGCTTTTTAAAGTTTTGTGTGTTACCAGTTTGTTAATCAAAATATATTTAAAGTTTGAAAAAAATATGAAATAGATAGTAAAACAAATTCAAATTACAAATTTGGGCACAAAGGGCTACGTTATTTAAAATTTGATGTGTCTAGGTGCCGTTGTTTCTTCACAGCGCAAAAAACATACATACATTCATGAAGATTCTTCGTTATTTAATGTCTTTAATGCTAGCTCTAAAGTCTGTTGGCAACATTCTGAAAAGTTAACCGACGCAAAATGCAAAACAAAATCAATAGCAAATTGCCCCTTTCGGACAATAAGAGCTTTACAGTAATACGTAAGAAAAATGGCTACATATTAAGCACTGAATAAATGCTAACTTTTATAAGAATATACAAATAATCTCAAGAAAATTTCACATGTTACGGCATAAAGATCTAGACAGTTTCAATGAAAGCATTTAGTGTGATAATTAGCTTGCAAAATATTTCATTTTCAGTTTGGCATGTAGTTTCCAAACATTAAATAATCAAATTACCACACTGAAATTTAAATTTTTAAACTACATGTTACGAACGCAAGTTTACGCATGAAATCAAAAGTATAACTTGAACTTATATATAAACTTATCTGTTTTTCTTTTGAATTTAAATTGCAAACACGAATACATTAAATGTCTCATTACAAATTGCAGTAGTTCTTTCAAGTCTGTTCGCATATCCCCCCTAAATCTAAAAATCTGTAGCTAGCCGATTGAATTAACAGTTATTAAAATCTATTTTAAAGTCCTTAAATGTATGGTTTTAATTTATTGTTTCAAGTGTATTTCTCATTAACTCTCATCCATTTTTATCTAACACTTACTATATTTCAACCAAATAATCTTTTTATTTATATTTAGTTACATGAAAGAATCACTTATTTATCTCCACGACATATTTAGTATTTACATTAAATTTACAACCCCGTTGCTTCTGAGAGATTTAAAAAATGAGCTATTCCTGTCAATAAATATAAAATGTCTTTTTGACAGCTTAAAGAAGCATGAAAAGTTTAAAAATAGCAACTACTAAATATCAAATGAAAAGCTTTTGTTGATAGAAAGCATGATATTAGTAGATTTATTTCTATATGTATTTCCATTTCTATTAATGTTCTTTTTTTTCCATTAGATATGTTTATTTGTGAGTAAAATATTCGATATAATTTTATTCTTTTGTACAGTTTAACAATATTTTCACTTTATTTTCACTTTCACAGTTAATATCAGCAACAATTAGTTTTTTATTATAATTCATTTTAGGCACAAGGGTAAACACTTTTATCTTACGTGACTCGAAACGACATCTGAAAGGCTATTTCTTTCATTCAAGCTGTGAGAGAATTAACTTTCAAACTGAAAATGCTATGTTCGTGCATTCATATTCTTTCTATACATGAAATAGAAACTATAATGTAAACAAAATATTTTTGGAGGGTTTTGAATGATTCCTTCTTAGTAAGGATTTGAAATACAATATTTAAAAGACATCACAGTTTATGCCGTAGAATCAGTGAGATACATCAGGAAAGACAAGATGAGGAAGAATGATCGTTTGTTAACATTAGCTACGTATAAGTCACATGACCTCTGAGGTCATCGGAATTTATCTCATTAACACTTTAAATAATTTAATAAACTAAACTATGTTTTTAATGGGATTTATATTTGAATTTAAAATGCACAAAAAATTTGTTTTTATGATTGCCGCAGATATCATTGCATTTTATAATTTATTCTAGGACGAAATCTTCCAGTTATTAAACTCTCTATTATTTTCGTTGGATAAGACACAATCGGAACACAATTTGAAATGCGAAGACTAATTAGTTAAAATATTTTATCAGATAAATTTGATTAAAATGAATTTGAATTTATAATGAATTTTTCTTTACATGTACTATTTACTTTTTAAAACATTTCGTATTTTTAAAATGTATGCGTACTTGGAAACTGGCTGTTTTCTGATAAAGGGTTTAACCTATCAGTTTTCAATACTCATGCTCATGCTTCTTTTATATTATATCTCACAGAGGATACGTATGCTATATTAAGATTTTTCTTACTTCTCAGGATAATTACTATTCTTTTGGAGGTTAGTCTGTCTATACAGGCTCAACTTATACTTCCCACTTCTATCTATACTGCATATTTACACATGTGTATATGCATAATGCACCATAAATCCTTTGCATACGCATGCATACCTACATATACAAATATAGGTACATTCTGTATATATGCAAATATGCAATGAAAACAAAATTACAGAGAAGTACTGAAGTAGGAACACTGAGACGTAGAAGCGTAGCAAAGTTTTTTTTTTTTTTTTTTTTTTTCCCTTTGAGAACATACAGACTCCCCGTGCACAACTAGAACATTAAAGGTTACATGTATAAATAAACATTAAAAATTACATGCATAAATAAAGCGAACAAAAGCAGAGAACAGCAGTCTGGACTTCACGAAAACAGATAAGTTCACTGGCCAAGTGCACTCCTAATATTTTCAAATCGTTCTGTGCAAGCATAGTCTAGGGCCATCAAAAGTAGGGCACGAGAAAATCAAATGTTCCACATCCTAAGGAAACTCTTTTTGAACATTCACATAAATTGTTTGATCGTAGATTAAAACGAACAGAAACTTGCAAAATTTACCGTGACCAGATAAGAACTAAGACACTTTAAAATTTAACGAGAGGAAAGACTCGGAATTCAGTCTATGGTAAATAGAAGGAAGGAACTTTTTGGTGACTTCCGCATTACAAGATGAAATGAATTTCTCATTCCACATAGCTAAAAGCTTTTTATAATGAAAGGACTTCCAATAACTCTTTGGAATGCTAATGTTCATATCAATGGGTAAATTTAAGGCATCTTTAGCTAAGAAATCAGCTCTTTCATTTCCGTAGAAACCATGATGAGCACGCACATAAGCAAAGCAGATATCAATACCTCTAATTCTAAGTGAACTAACAGTTACTAGGGTTTTGATAACTAATTTATCGCAGCTGGTAATACTGTTTAAAAGTTGAAGAGAAGAAAGAGAATCAGAACAAATAAGGTACTTTGAGGATGTTGTCCCATGATCATGGAACCATTTGACGGCCAAGATAAATAAATGCACAGAAGTTCTGCTTGAAAAACTGTACATTCATTCCGTATACGGTTGTCTAAGAAAACAAGTCTCGGAATGGCCTTCAAAAAAAAATGCAAGGCCACCTTGTTGTTCATCTTGCTGCCATCTGTAAAGAAAACCATATGAAAATTTATTTCAGCAGTCTCTTATAATCGCAGAAATTTATGGGTTCTAAAGAAAGCGGATGAGGAAGATCAGTGAAGGGGACAATTCCATTAATACAGTCTTCCGAAGCATGAGTTGCCAATGACTCAAAATATTATTCTTATATGCAATTTCAAAATCAATAGGCGGAACTTCTGCAAGAACGCAAAGTAGCCTATAGCTTAATGTTCTATAACCACAATTAATACGAAGAAGAATTCTCCGTTGAATCTTTCTTAAATTTCTTTTGTTAACCTTCTGGCAAGAACATGTTCCTAAGCACGACAGCCGTACGAAATGAACACTGCTTATACATGAGTTTCTTAACATCGTAGCTTACTCCAAAAGTATTTTTGGCAATTCGGTGAAAGCCATTAATAATTTTTTCACATTTAGCAGAAAGGAATTCAATGTGCTTTTTCCATGTTAATTTTTTGTCAAGAATGACACCAAGATATGTAACATTTTCTACAAATTCCAACGGAGAATTATTGGGCATCAAAGAAGCAATATTTTGTTCAGCAAACGTACTGGGAACAAGCATAGCTTTACCTTTTGAAGGATTTGAAAGTGAGTTTATGAGAAAGGGCCCAATGGAGACAAATCTAGAACTCTTGTGCTCTCAAAAGAATGTTATTCAAATCCTTCCTTGGAAAATTATAGTAAGTCGTCTGCAAACGCAATTTTTTAAACAACCGTCGTGATGGACTTAAAAGATCATTTATGATTATGTTCCAAAGAGTAGGTCCGGATACAGAGGCTTGAGGACAGCCCTTTTTAGAGAATAAACCTTAGCTTCGTTCCAAGCTGAAGCTCAGCAGTCCTCTCGTTCAAGAAGCTTTTAAGAAGGTTATAGATATTATGTGGTATACCAGCATCTTTAAAATTTTAAGATAGATGGCCACCAAGCATTATCAAAAGCTCCTTTGAAATCCAGGAAAATAAGAAGTGTAGTATACTTCATTTTCTTCGCACACTGCAAGATATTACAAAGGCGATTAATGGCATCTTCAGCGGACTTCCGAGGAGTAAATCCGAACTGAGAATCATTATAAAAGCATTTTTGTCTCAAATACCAATTTATTCTGTTAATGAAGAGAGTTTCAAGACATTTTCCCAAAGTAGGCAAAAGACAAATGCATCTAATATTATCAAGATAAGGGGTTCTTGTATCTAACGTTTTAGGAATCAAAACAACCCGAGCTCTCTTCATTGTGCTGGAAAAATGCTAATTGTATACAAAGGTTGAAAAGTTTGTGTAGAAATGTGCTATCCACCGCATGAAAGTGCTGTACCATTTCATTAGAAAGAGAGTCAAAGCCCAGGTGATTTGTTCTTCTTGAGATTTTTAATACACTGTTAACTTCTGAATAGAGAACAGGACAGTCCATAAAAGAAATATAAGGTCCATCAGACTCAGTGCGCATAGTTCTATGAGAATTTCTATCATCACGCGCATTATCTCTTGGGAAATTCTTTGTCATTATAGCAAAAATTGTATCACTCAAACTCGAAGTAACAC